CAGAGGGGACAGAAACGCTGCGGAATGTCCCAGAGCCCAGGGATGGGGACAGAAATGCTGCAGAGCGTCACAGAGCCCCAGGGATGGGGACAGAGGGGACAGAAACGCTGCAGAGTGTCACAGAGCCCAGGGATGGGGACAGAGGGGACAGAAACACTGCAGAGTGTCACAGAGCCCAGGGATGGGGACAGAGGGGACAGAAACTCTCGGGGCAGACCGCGCAGACAGAAGCGGCTCCGCCGTGTCCAGGAGCAGCTCGGGAAGAAGGTTGGGAGAAGAGCTCCTTTGTGAGGGACATCAGAACCTGTGAACATCATTGGTGACATCTTTCTGTCCCTGTCACACTCTCTCTTTCTGCCCCACTCATTCTTGATTCTTAACTCTTTCCTGCTCTGTTTTCTGCCTGATTTTACCTCTGAATAATTGGTAAGCGTGACCTGGTGCTGGACTGACGGCTGTTGTTTGTTGCTGGACTCTGAGCCATTGATCCCTGAGGTTCTTCCAGTTGTTGCAAGAAATTAAATTAAATCAAATCATGTTGTGTTATTCCTCCTAGTTCCTCTCACTCCACCAACTCTGCCGAGCAGGGTATCGGCCGAGCAGGGTATCGGCAGCTCCCATGAACGCTCCTTTTCGGGGAACCACAAAAGACTCACCTCCCTCCACCATCCACCGAAGGGGTGAGACAGACGGGAAGCGTGGGCTGGGGGTGGACACGCGCTGGGGACACCACGGGTGGATGTGACCAGGGCTGGGGACCGATAAGGAACTGGCCGGGTGGTGGCACTCGAGGAGCTTGGTCACCAGCTCAGTGTCTGGGTGGAGCCTGGTGACCAGTGGAGCAGCTCCCGAGCGAGGACAGGCTGAGAGAGTTGGGGGTGTGCAGCCTGGAGAAGAGAAGGCTCTGGGGAGACCTTCCAGCACCTCCCAGTGCTGAAAGGGGGCTACAGGAGAGCTGGGGGGGCTCTGGGTCAGGGGGTGCAGGGACAGGACCAGGGGAACGGGCTGAAGCTGGAAGAGGGGAGGTTTGGATGAGAAATGAGGAAGATTTTTTGGATGCTGAGGGGGGTGAGGCAGTGGCCCAGGGTGCCCAGAGCAGCTGTGGATGCCCCATCCCTGGAGGGGTTCAAGGCCAGGCTGGATGAGGCTTTGGGCAACCTGGGCTAGTGGGAGGGGTCCCTGCCCATGGCAGGGGGTGGCACTGGGTGGGCTTTAAGGTCCCTTCCCACCCAAACCACTCTGGGATTCTCAGACCATTCGATGATTTTACACCTCTGCAGAGGAACTGTGCATTATGCCAAAGTCTCTGTCAACCTTTCAGCTGCTGCAGCATTAAATTTGGGCTTTTTTGGGAGCAGCAAAGAGGCGAATTGCTAAAGAGATGGTTGAAAAAAGCAGGGGAAAGGCTGCGTGGGTCAGCAGGCGCAGCACAGAACAGATTCCCAAGCAAATCTGGCCACAAAAGCCTCAACTTCCCCATCTGCTCTGACCCTGCGGCCGACCGTAACGCCTGTAAAGTGTGACCAATATCAATATAACGGTGAGAAAATAAATCCTTTGGCTTATCCTGCCTGGAAGGACTCTCAGCTGGAACCAGACTTACCAAATACGCCACAAAGGAGAGGTAGAGCACGCTGAGGATGCCAGCGCCGACGTACAGACCCACGTGGTTCAGGGACATGACATAGGCCACCACGAAGTACATGTTGATGCTGCAGATCAGGAGGATCAGCAGCCCACCAGCGATCTTCCAGAACCTGAGAGTGAAATTGGAGCAAAACAGGGTGAGGCGGAGGGGCCGCTGGTGTGTTTGGAGGAGTTGCTCTGCGATGCGAGGAGCGGACCGCGTGCCTGGGGCGAGCAAGACGCCGGCTCCTGCTCGGAGAAGATTCCCTTCGTACTTACAATCCGTTGGCAAAATCATTCATGACGCTGGGCAGGCTGGTGAACGTCAGGACAGGGATCAAGGCGAACGGAAGCTGGAATAAGGAAGAAAATACAGCAGAATAAAGAGTGGAAATCGTTCTGGTTGTCTCCGCACAGACAAACATCCAAGGCTGGCTCAGATCTGACAGCACTTCCCGGAGGCTGTTGTAAAACGAGTCGAAGGGGCTTTCCCTGGCTGGAAGGAGGAAGCAACTCCAGCCCCTGGCTGATGCTCTCCCCCTCTCCACGCAGACCAACATCTGGTGACGGCACCTGGCTCTGCTCAGCCGCTCCTTTGGCATCAGAAGCTGAAATACTCGGTGCCGAACGGATCTCTGAGCCCTGAGCCCCCCAGCCCGTCCTGCTGCTCACCTGGAGGCTCATAAGAACATTTAAGAAGTCGTTCATGCCCGTCAGGTGCTCGACGTCCTGAAAGATGGCGACGAAGAGGGTGGGGGTGATGGCGATGGAGCGGGTCAGCAGCACCCGGGCGAAGCGGGACCACCGCAGGTTCAGGAAGCCCTGGGGAAAAAAAACAGCAGCTACTGGGTGAAAACGGCAACGAGGTGTCGAGTGCAGCAGGAAGAGGGGGGCTCAGCGCAGGATTTATCTGAAAGGCTCAGCAGGGAGTTTTATGGAGCTTCCAGCAAGAGCTGCACGTCCCAGGAAGGGAAATGCTCAATATGAGCTTTAAAGGCTCAGGAGAGAGAACAGAGAGAACAGGGCCAGCGGCAGACACTACGAGTGCTCATCACCTCCATGACAAACTGCCCAGAGTACGTCCCCGTCATCGTCGAGCTCTGGCCGGCAGCGAGGATCCCGATTGCCCAGATGTAGAGAGCAGCAGAGCCGAAGTAACAGCCCAGAACGACGCCCTGGAACAGAGATTCGCAGCTCAGTCCCACACCTGAGAGTGGGGAGAAGAAAAAGGCGGCGAATTCCCTTGTGGCCACATTAATCACGGGCACTGAGTTGACAGAGAAGGAATAATCCATCTGCAGGAGAGGGAAAAGCATTCCCCGCGTCAGCAGCAAAGGCAACACCTCACGGGCTGCAGCTTGAACAGAGCAGACGCAGGATGGATGCAAGGAAAAACCTCCTCACGGCCGAGATAATGAAACAGGGGAGCAGAGAGCCGGGGCGCCCCTGGGGTCAGCACCACCAGCAAAGGGCGAGATAATTGTGTTTGGCCAAAGGGCTGGGCTCAAGGACCCCCAGGGGTCTCCTCCTGCTCCCAGCAGCGGCCGCTTCCAGCCGAGGACGCCAGGGACAAGGCCACCACGGGTCACACTCACCCCCTTGTAGATATCCACCTCCAGTGTCTCGTTGTTGTTCGGGAAGAGCGAGGAGTGCGGGCTGCTGGCGTTCACGCAGACGGCGCTCTGCAACGACACGGAGGGGCAGAGGGGTGGGTTTGCTCAGCAAGAGAGAGGCGAGGGCTGCGGGGGAGGAGCAGCGGCTGCTGGGGGTCCCAAGGTGCTGGGGGTCTCTTCAGACTGGTTCAAATGGGAATAGGCAGCACCCCTGTTATACCCAGAATTACGGGCTCTGCATGACCCAGGGGTGCTGGTGAGGCTGGGAGCCGCTCCTC